TTCAATTTCTTATTAGTTTCTACTCATTAAGAGAGTTTATTTTATGACAATATCAAATAGAGACATAATCTTTTTTGAAATTTAAAAAATTGATCATAAATTTAGAAAAATGATCGTACCTTTGATCTCTTTCTTCATCTTTGAGCTCTATTCAAATTTTTATTTATTAACCTATGACTACAGTAGAAAGGACACAATTATGCATAAATACAGGTAACTTTTTCTATCATTACACAATAAATGAGTTAAATTTTTGGAAGCAAATTTTACTGATTAATTGATTGATTAATGATTAACTTTTAAAATTTTTAAAATCATTTGATAAACTAAAAAAAAAAATGATAAATTCACTTTTGATAATGTGAATAATAATGGCAAATGATAGTGAAATGATTGATGAATATCTCTTATCAAACAAACAATCATTCATGCTTCTCTTTTATCATATAATTCTATCTCTTTTAATATATTATAATTATTTGTCGATTAAACTTATGAAAAGAGGGACTGAATAATTTTATTAATATAATATATATGACATTTTCTTTTCTATATTATTAAAGTTAGATTTTTTTTTTCATATTATTAAAGTTAGAAACGAATTAGATTTTTTTTTTCTCTACTAATATCTTACCCAAAACCACATTTCTTACCTAAAATCGCACCACAAGCATTTCAAATTACTTTTTTTACCCAAAATATGACATAAACATTTTCATCAGTATAAATTATAATAAATTATTTTTCTTACCCCAAATACAACATGGGCATTTTAAATTATTTTTCTTACCCAAAATACGGCATAAACATTTCATCAGTGTATATTATGATGAATTACTTTTTTTACCCAAAATACGACATAGATATTTTCATCGGTGTATATTATAATAAATTACTTTTCTTACCCAAAATATAACATGGGCATTTTAAAATAGTTTTCTTACCCAAAATACGGCATAAACATTTCATTAGTGTATATTATGATAAATTGCAATATAACATGAGCATTTCAAATTACTTTTCCTACCCAAAATACAACACAAGCATTTCATCAATATATATTATAATAAATTACTTTTCTTACCCAAAATAAAATATGGGCATTTTATTGTGATGATGGGTATGCCAAGAATTCCAGTAATTACCAATGTATGAATGAAAATTAAATTTTTTTTTAAAATTTGAAATAAATTTAAAAAAGGAATGTTATAATTTTATTAATAAAGTACAATTCAAACATATTCATAATCCATTTCATTTGTGAATAAATTATGTAAGCTAATTAATCATTTCCAGTAAATCATTTCTGATTTAAAATAAGCAGTGCATAAGTAGTTTGTAAACAGTAAAACATCAAAAATATTTAATCAAAAATAATACAATTAATTTTAGCAAATTCTTCAAATAACTCTTACTAATAAGTAATTAACAATAATTAATTAATTATTCGCATCCTTAATGATAATAATTTGGGAAATAGAAGAAAAAATAAATTAGAAATTTTCATTACACAATATATCCAAAGAAAAAGAAAATTAGCAAATAACATAAATTAATTAAATATGCAATTCAAAAAAAAAATGCTATAGAAATAAATTAGAAATTTATATTATAATTTGTAATTAATCACTTTTAATTTTATATTAAACATAATTTTATTATTAATATACACCTATAAATCATAATTTTTTTACTTTGATCAATTTTTTCACTTTGATCATACGCACCAATCATTCAAATAAATTATTTATTCATTTTTTTTTTTTTTTGATCCAAATAATTTATGAAATTAAAAAAAAAATAATTTATGAAAATTGGTGAATAGACTGAGTTAGATTTTATGAATTTAATTTTATTAATTAAATGTTTTTTTTTTTTTAATAAACTATGTTAAAAAAAGATTTTTAATAAACTATATTAAAATTGTAGTATAATCTCTTTTTTTCTCAAAATGATAAGAAATGATAGAAAGATGAAAATGATCAATAATCACTGATTACTGATAAATGATAGCAATTACAAAAAAAAAAAAAAGCATTGTGTAGCTTTTTTTTTTGAATACAAATTTTTCTTCCGTTATTTCGTTAAATGTGTAAAGTTACAAATATGTTAAACTGCTTTTTAAATCATTTTAAATTGCTTAGCTATTTCAAATGGTTAAATTAGCAAATAATCAATGAATGGTTAAACTGTTATTAGCTTTTTATTATTATAATTTTTTATTACTTTATTATAATAATTTAGTTTTTTATTATTATAATAAGTTATTTTGTCAATTTTTCTCTCAATTTTTTTAAATTTTTTCACCTAATTCTTTTCGATATTTTATTTTTCTAATTAATCAGATATCTAAATAAATGTACAGTTATTTAGTCTAAAAAGTTTATAATTATTTTTAAAATGATTTAGTCCTTGATTTTTTTTTTTTTTTTTTTGGAGAAATAAATAAACATATAGAAGTAATAATAAAGTAATAAACTGAAATAAATTATATTTTCCATTTTTTCCAATTTCAATTTAATAAACAAATATTATAATTCAAAAGAACTAAACAAGGAATATTATTAAAATTTTGCTTTTATTATAGAAATTATCAGATGGAATATAATTAGCATCAAATAATAATTAGTGTGCTGCATATTGTTGTTATTGTTGCAATTGTTTAAAATGCCATTCAAAATTTTAAGAATAAGAAGAAATTTGGTAAGTCAAACTTTTTTTTTTTTTCTATTCTTTTATTTATTTTATTTTTTCCTTTTTTTTTTTAAAGCATAAATTATTTAGCTTTAGCATTATTTTATATGATCTGAAGAAATTTGAGAAACAAAAGATTTTGTTTTCTAAAAAAAAAAAGAGAAAAAAAAATTTCTAAAATTAAAAAATTCTCCTTCAAACTTTGTTTTTGTCATTTCTAATTCATTTTACTTTTTTTTTTTTTTTAACTTACATTTTTATCGCTTTCTTTTTTAACTTTCTTCTCTCTCTCTCTTTCTCTCTCTCTCTCTCTTTCTTCCTCTCTGTATTGTATAATTGAGAAATATCAGCTGTTCAAATGTACCTGAAAACTTATATATTTGAAATAATAATTCTTCAGCACTCTTTTTTTCAAAAAATGTGACAGTTAGAAAGAATAATAATAAAAATATTACTAATTAATGCTAAAAATAAACGCACATTTTAGTAAAAATACTAAAATTTGAGAAAAAAAAAACAGATAAAATAAATTTGATAATTTTCTATTTAATATTAACAAATTTATCTTTAAAAAAAAAAAAAAAAAAGAAAAGTTTGTGACAGAAGAAAACGAAAGAAATAAACCGGAATGATTACTTTGTTTACTCTATTTTCTTTAAGAATTATTATTTCTACCTGAATAGAAAAATTAATTAAACAATTGCATCATTTGTTATTTAATATTATTTCTTGCAAAATATATCATAAATATATTCCACTTGATTTTAAAGAAATTGAATTTTTGAGATTTAATTATTATTTACTTTTTTATTTTTGCAGAATAGACTGAGTTAGATTTTATGAAGTAATTAATTTTATTAATTAAATGTTTTACAATTAACGCAATACTAAAAGATTGATGGTGACAGATTAGGAAATTTTTGCCTCTTATTTTTAATTTTTTAAAACACACAAATGAAATATGAATTAAGGAAACAACAAAAACTATCGGACAATTTCAAAAGATTAATTCGGAAATTCGATGTGACACTATGAAATATAGTGAAAGTGAACTTTCTGATGCAATACAACATAATGAATATATTTCAAAAGTAAGAAATTAAACTAATTTTAATTCACTAACACTTTCTATAATCATACATAATTAATAAACAAAAGAAAAAAAAAAACCGCTTATAGTTATTTTTGAAATGACTTTAAAAAATATTTCAATAGTTTAAAGCATTAGCATTAAAAATAAACAAATTTTTCATTCTCAAATGTGCCTCTTTTGTTTTTGCTTCTTAAAATAGTATTATTGTCACCCTCATTGTGGTCATTCACGTAGCTATCCCTGTGGTCATTCACGTAGCTATCCCTGTGGTCATTTACGTAGCCAACCCTGTGGTCATTCACGTAGCTATCCCTGTGGTCATTCACGTAGCCATCCCTATGACCATTCCATACGGTCATTAATTTTGGTATACTATTTATCATTCATTTACAGTCAAAATAGAAATCACCCTATTTTCAACTTGCAACTGCAATATTATTTAAATTTAAATTACGATAATTTCAAATACAGCTTCGATTATAATATATTTTTAAATTTCAATTACATAAATGCTAAATGCTAAACAATTTCTTTTTTCTAAGCTTATTTTTTCAATTTATAATGTAAACAGCCTGACAAAAAAAAAGTATGATATCAAATGTGAATTATTCCTCAGAATGCACGTGACACGTGACGGACGAAAGGGAGAAAAGGGGGGGGAGAGGGGGGGGAGAAGCATAGAAATAAATCGATTAGTTAGATTGAAAATTTTTTGTGTATCATTTTGCTGTGCTGCACTTTGTTTTGCTTCCTTTCTATACAAACATCAAAAGCCAATTCATTTACATTCTTTTTTTTTTTTTTTTTGTTTTTTTCGTTAAATTTTTAAATTAAAATTTTTGTTTTTGTTTTTTGTTTTTTTGGTTGCAGTTTAAATTTCTAGTTTTTATTTTTAATTAGAATGAATTTTGCTCTTAATAATTTCTTGCTTTCCTGCAAAAAGAAAAAAAAGAAGATCGACAATATAACTGATTATTGATTGATTGTTTTATTTATTTTTTAGTCTTACTAAAAAAAAAGAAAATGTATTTTACATTAATTTAATTTTCTTTTTAAATTAAATATTTAGAAGGGAGTCGAAAATTTTTAAAATTAATTGATAAATTGCTATTTTCAACGCTGCAAATATCTTTTGTTCAATTCATCAACAAATTATTTCATCCTCTTTAGACTAATTATTTTAGCTTTCTTTGCACTTGTATATTTAAACATTATGTGTTTAACTGAAACTATTAATTTATCGAAGAGTGATACCGATGAAAATCGGAAACCGGAAACGCGTATTATCACTCTTAATTATGGTGATGATCTCGACCAGTTAGTATTTCGTTTCCAGAAAGGTTTGATATTTTATATTAATTCTTTGTTTTGGCATGTTTATGTTGAAATAAACTGAAAAAGAAATGATGAAGTTTTTATTTTTTTTTTTTTTTTAGATTATTATTTTTTATTATTTATTATTCTTTTATTATTATTTATTGTTTTATGAATGAAATTAAAATGTTGAAAGAAATATTGAAATTTGAAAAAAATACTCAAACTTCAATTTATGAAGGTATGCTATGAAATGTCTAATTTGTAAATGAAACAGAAGGAATTGTTTTGATAGCAATTGTTTTTTTTTTTTTTTTTTAAGTTTCAAATTATATTTTCATAGTTCCATGTATTTTAATTTCACATATTTTTTTTTTTTTTTTTGTATGTAATCTTTTCAAATGATAATTAGCTCAATAATTTTAAAATAATTCTAGGCTGGTATGTACGTTTTGTTCGTGGTTCAAGTCTTTTGGGACGTGATGTGAATGTCTTTACGTCAATTTCGGGTAAGATATCCTGGAATGAGGGTACTGATGAATTTGCAACATTTGCTGAAATTAAATGTGAACAATCTGGTGCTTTCTCATATCATTTTATTGTTGATAATGAAAGGTATTATTATTATTATTATTATTTTAATTTAAATTTTATTCTCAAAATCAATCTTTATATAATTAATTAATTAATTTAAACAAAAAAAAAAAACGAAAATGGCTGAAAAAAAAAAAAAAAAAAAGAAAATTTTTAGTAAAATAGCTGGTAGTGGATACATTCTGGTTATGCCAATTTTATTCCTCAATAAACATCCATTACTTCTGAATGCAGTAACATGTATCACACATATCTCAAAACTTCTTGGTACATTTGATATGTGGGAGAAACGTTTACAAATAGCTGCAAAAGCAAAATATAATATGATTCATTTCACTCCTGTTCAACAACTTGGAATTTCAAATAGCAGGTATATTTCATTTTAAAAATAACAAATTTGCATAATCTTAAAGTATTATCAGTTATTTATTTATTTTATATTCTACATCTTTTTCTTTTCTTTATTTTTTTTTTTTTTTTTGTATTTTAATACATTTTAAAGTATTTTCATTCGATTTAAATTTAAACTTTGACAAATTAAAGTTTAAAATTAAATTAAAACTTAAAACTAGTAATGTATTAAAAAAATTAATCATAAGCAAAATTTAAAAAATTCCCACTTATATGAAATATAGATTTTAGCTCTTTTTTTTTTTTTTTCTTAATTCTTCTTTGATAATTATGCATTGTTTTTAAAAAGTTTTATATATGAAATCATTGATTGTTTATTTTAGTTATTGTATTGCTGATCCAATGCAATTGAATCCGAATTTCAATACAGCCGTAAGTTTGCTTAGAATGAATTAATTTTTTTTATAAATAAAGTGTTTAAATTTAATTATTATTTTGCTATTAAATTAAAATTCATTTTGCCATTACTGTTAACAATTATAAGTGCTATTCTATTAATCTAATTTATATTATCTACAAACTTTATGTATTAGCAATAGTTTATTAATTATTCCAGTAAATTTAATTAATAATTAAATTTATTTGCGCTATTCTAAAACAATTTATTAATATATATGAACTTCATATACAAAGAACTATTATCACATTCAATGCTTTTCTGCAATGATATTTTTTTTCAATTAATTTTATCATTTAAGCTTAAAATTGATTCGTTTAATTAATAAGCTTAAATTTCAAATAATTTATTTAAACAGGGAAAACAGTATACATATGACGATTTGGCAATATTAATAAAAAATCTCGAAAAAGATTATCATTTATTATCAATACAAGATGTTGTATGGAATCATGCAGCTCGTAATGCTTTATGGCTTTTAGTAAGTTACATTGTTTATTCTTATCATTTTGATATTAAATTAAAATTCATTTTACTATTACTGTTAACAATTATAAGTACTATTTTATTAATTTAATTTATATTATCTATAAACTTTATGCATTAGCAATAGTTTATTAATTATACCAGTATAAGTATTATTTAATTGATTAATTTCAATTGAATTATGTAAAGAAATGGAATATATCTTTTGATAATAATTTATAATTATTATTATTTTTTTTTTTTTTTTTGTTGTTTTTAGGAACATCCAGAATGCGCTTATAATTTAAAAAATAGTCCACATTTGCGACCAGCTTATATTCTTGATCGACTTTTATATCATTTTGGTATGGATATTATGAATGGAAAATATAAGAATCGAAATCTTAGCAAGGAAATTAATAGTGTTGAACATTTAAGAGTATGTTAGATATTATTGGATTGCTTTAATAATTTAAATTAATAATATTCAGCAAATTTAATTAATAATATTTGATAAATTTCAGTTTTTCATTTTATTCCTTTTCATTCTTTTTTTTTTTTTTTTTTTTTTTTAGACTATCCTTGACATTTTGCGCAATGAAATTTTACCACAATTGAGAGTTCACGAATTCTTTCAAGTTGACATTGAGAAAATGGTGACAGAATTTGAAAAATATGTCGAAGGTATTTAAAAATATTGAAAAATATTATTAATTGTTAAAATTAATCGAAAGCTTAAAGATAATGCTTAATGGTTAGCATCATTTTCTAGAAAGTCAATTCATGAATTTTTCAATTTATACACTATCGAAAAAGACAATTGTATTACTTATAATAACTTACTTATTTTTTAAGCAAAAATTTTCTTCAAAAATTTATTTAAATTTTCATTAGATGAATTTTATTTTTAATCATAATAATATTTAGAAGGAGCATCTCCAGAAGTACGAGATGAAATGTTAGAATCAAAGCCAGGATTGAACTGGAATCGATTTGGCTTCATCGTTGACATGAATCATGCAAATATGATTTTTAACAGAGAAAGGTATCAAATTTTAATTTTAATTATAAAACTCTTCTAACATTTTCAAACTTCTTGGCTCTTTCAACATTTCCAATACTTTAAACAATAGCCTAGTAAATAGTGTTAAAATGAAGTTAACATTTGATTATGAAGTTCGAAAATTTATTTTAGATGAAACTTTGCAAATTTCAATTTTTGCATTGAAGGAATGATGCTTGTGATGAGAAAGATAGACAATGGAAGTGTTTGGAAGCATTTCAAGCACATCTTCAATTCCTGAATGAAAAAGCATTGAAAACAGGTGCAGAAATTTATGAAAATATATTGCAAGCTTGTGCTGGTCATATTTCTTATGAACGAATTGATCAGTCGGGACCGAAACGACGTGAATTAACCGAGATTTTCGGGCTTGTCACGCAGTAAGTATATATTATCCAGTAATTATGTACATAAGTATATGTCATCTAGTAAGTATGTACATAAGTATATATCATTCAGTTAAGTATATTTATCACCCAGTAAGTATGTAGATATGTATATATCATTCAGTAAGTGCCATCAATTACTCAATTAAAATTTTTATAAATTTCAAAATTTTTCTTCTTTTTATCATCTTTTTAATAAATATAAGATTAACTTGTTAATCATTGAAAAAAAAAAAAATGTATTTATTAATTAGAATTAGGTGGATTTTTTTGGTGGATTAGTATTGTCAACATGTCATACGTCATCTAAATAATCATATTATCATAACCAATAATTTTAATAAATTGATTGTTACTATTGCAAATTATAACAAAATAAAATAACTTTTAAAAATGTTAAAAATAATAAATATAAAAATATGGTACTCCTAATTGGTTATTCTATTTTTGCATTTATACATTGTTTGATTTAAAACTTTATTACCGCAATTTTTTTTTATTGTTTTTGAATTATTAATAGATGATTAAATTATATTTACTTTTAACATTTTTAAAAGTTATTTTATTTTTTGTTTAAAACTTATTTTTATATATCTTTTTTTTTGTAATAGATGATTAAATTATAGTAAGTAAATAAGAAATTAATTGATATTATATTAACTATCTTTCTAATTTATTGGAATATTTTCGTTTTTCTTTTTTTAGATATTTTGTACAACCATTTCCATCACTGTCTTCATGGAAAGATGAGGAGAAATTTGCTTATAACAATGAAACAGCTGAAAAAATAATGGCATGTAATGGATGGGTTATGAATGATAATCCATTATCAAATTTTGCACATTATCCATCGCAGGTATAACAAACAAAAATATTTAATTCATTATCTATCATAGGTTTAAGTAATAAAATATTTAATTCATTATCTATCATAGGTTTAAGTAATAAAATATTTAATTCATTATCTATCGTAGGTAAAATATTTATTTCATTATTCATCGCAGGTTAAACGAATAAAAATATTTATTATAATGAATAAAGTATTTAATTCAAATTGATTTCATAGGTTTGCAAACCTAATTCAACCTAACATTTTGTGGATTTTTTGGCAATTTACATTATTTACTTTGTTGAAAAGTATCTAGGTTACGTCATCCGATAGTAATCATACTATTTTGACAGTATATGATTACAGTTTTCTCGAGATATGCTTAAGTAATCCATTGTATAGCATTAGTTAATAACAATCTTAATAATACTAATCATGATAATTGCATTAGGTGATGATAATCATGATACAAAATTGAAATCATCTTATTGATATCAAAATTCATATTTAATTTTAATAGTCTATTTTGATTTACTGAGTATTATAAGTTAATAGAACCTATTTTATAAGTTAATAGAACCTATTTTAATTTACAGAGTATTGTAGGTTAATAAAATCTGTTTTAATTTGCCAAGTATTTAGGTTAATGAAATCTGTTTTAATTTACTGAGTATTATAGGTTAATAAAGTCTGTTTTAATTTACTGAGTGTTATAAATTAATAAAATTTAGTTTAATTTACTGAGTATTAATAATTAATAAAATCTATTTTAATTTACTGAGTATTAATAATTAATAAAATCTACTTTAATTTGCTGAATATTATAAGTTAATAAAAACATTTGAAATTAATAATTTTTAGTTTCATGTAACAGAATATTTATTATTTTGTCATTTTCATTTTTATTATTAATTTTAAATTATAATAACTTCTTACTTCAGGTTTACCTGATGAGACATTTGGTATGTTGGGGTGATTGTATTAAGTTAAATTATGGCGAAAAGCCGGAAGATTGCCCGTATTTATGGGATCTGATGAAGAAATACACGTAAATTTCCTATTTAAGATTTTGCTTGAATTTCCTTTTCTCTTATTTTACTATTTTACATTTTACTTTTACTATTTAAATAAAGGAATCTTTCATTTTTTTATTTGTTTTTGTTTTTTTTTTCGCTAACGAAAACCATCGTTGTATGTTATCCTAAAATTTCATATCACTATTGTATATGGGTATCTAATATAATTTTTCAAAAAAAATTGAAATTTGAAAAAAAAAAAAAAACAAATTTCAGTCTTATTAAATTTTTAAATTAGTTTTTTAGAATTTTTTTTTTTTTTTTTAATTTAAGAAACAAAATTAAGACTTAAAATTTAGAAACAGTAGGAGATAAAATATGATAAGTTGAAAATAGGAATAATGTTTGCATATTTAATTGAGTAATTACAAGTAATGAATTTTTTTATATATATATTTTTTCATTTTAGTCAACGTTGTGCAAAAATATTTCATGGTTTACGTATTGATAATTGTCACAGTACACCAATACATGTTGCTGAAGTATATTACTTTACATTTTTTTTTTTTTTTTTTTCAATTATAAAATTTTATTTATAAAATATTACTAATGTAAAATTTAATATATTATAACAAATGTTATTGTAACTTTTTTTTTTCAGTATTTATTAAAAGCTGCTCGTGAAATACGACCAGATATCTATGTTATAGCAGAACTTTTCACACAGAGTGAAAATTTGGATAATATTTTTGTAAATCGACTTGGAATAACTTCTTTAATACGAGGTAATTATTAATAATTTAGCCATTTTTTTTTTTTTTTTTGTTAAATTATTTCAAAAATTTTATGCTTAATTAATATGTACTGTAATTCTTTCAGAAGCTCAAAATGCTCCAATAAGTTTTGAACAAGGTCGTTTAATTTATCGATTTGGCGGTGATGTATTAGGTGGATTTATTCAAAAATCAATTCAAGATGCAAGATCTTGCATAGCACCAGCTTTATTCTTTGATCAAACACATGATAATCCTTCAGCTATTGAAGTATTCTCTTTCTTTTTTTTTTTTTTTTAAATTACTATATCAATTAATTTAAATGATATTAATCAATGATCTTATTGATATTAAGAAATAATTTAAATTGTTATAGTGTTAAGAGTAAAGTTACAAATGCAATGATTAATTTTAATGTTTTATCTGATTGTATGTACTCAAATGTTTTATTTAAAATGGATTATTTGATATTTTCTAGGTTTATTTATTTAGCTAGAATATGATAATTAACTTAGGAATAACTTTTGAAGAATATCATAATTATTCAATGATTATTTTGTTAATATTTTATGTAAATAATTTCCAGAAACGTTCCGTTTATGATTGTATACCAACAGCAGCAATGCTAGCAATGGCAAACTGTGGTATTGGCAGTGTTCGAGGATATGATGAACTTGTCCCTTATAAGGTAATTATTGATATTTTAGTCATTTTTTGTTACTTATCTTATAAGGTAAGTAAATGAAATGATATCATTGATAATTGATGAAACTATAATGCTTTGAATTAACTTTATCCAATTTAAATTAAATTAAATTAAGTTTATTGTTGATAACATTAAACAGATTATTTAAAAAGAAAATTAATGATAACATAACAATGTTTATAAATGGAAAATATTTTGCTCATTTATTCTTCCTTTATAATATTTTTGAAATCAGTATGATATGATATGATATGATATATTATCTCTTTCCTCTGTTCAATTTTTAAATTTTAGATAGATGTTGTTAGTGAAACACGTAATTATACGACGTGGGATGAAGTAAAACAATCGTCTACTATTATTCCAGCACGTGCCGCACTGAATAGCTTGCATGTTTGGCTTGCAGAACATAATTATACTCAGGTATTAATTTATTATTTAATAATTTGTTACATTTTGAAATTTAAACTTTCTTTTTTCATAATGCTTAACGATGAAACGATTGTTTGTGACTGAGTGATTAATTGAAAATAATTGAAATTTTTGTATTTTATTCAGTTTTAGATTTATGTTGATCAACGAACACCGGATATTGTAGCTGTAACACGACATAATCCGGTAACTCACGAAAAAGTTATTATGCTTGCATATACTGCTTTCAATAAGAATGCCATTTGCTATGATTGTCCAGCAGTTGAAGATTTGACATTTACTGGTAATCGGTTTTAACTACTATCATTTAATTTTTCTAGTCGTTATCATTTTTCAAAACTGTCATGTTTTTTATAAATGAATAAGTTAAATTAAGTGATTTAACAACAGCTAGTAGCACTGAAAAAGTTTTTTTTTTTTTTTTTTTTTCCGGAAATCTAGTGTACATACCGGAAAATGTACGACATTGAATGATTTCATTATGTGTCTATATTTTACCTTTCACAATTAGTTCAAAATGCTGTCAAATGAAAGCAATAAATTTTAGGTGTATTGGATGAAATTGTATTGGAAATCGAATTTTCCTATACGGATAAAGGACGACAAGGTATATTGTTGCATATTTATGACATGAACTATTGAATTTATTTTAAATTGAAATTTTAATAAATCAAAGCAAAAGAAAAAAAGCTACAGAAAGTGAAGACAAAATTGTTGGTTTAAATGGTGCTAAAGTGGAAGTTCGAGAGCATTTGAAAGGAAATGATTCGAAATTAGCAATCATCAAACAGTATGAAACAAATGGCAAACTTCATCTGAAACATTTTCCTTCCGGATCAGTTATTGTTATAAAGTTAGTTAAGTTACAGTTAATTAGCTGCGAGTAATGAGGAATAAATCAGACGAAAAGTAAGAGCCAAAGAAAAGTAAGAGTCATTTTACTAATGATTATTTTGAGCTAAAGTAAATCAGTTAGCTGAAGTGAAAAAAAAAAAGAGTTTTATTGGCAGACTAGAATTTATATGGAAATTTTAGCAAAATACTAAAATCATTTGCTTAATAAATTCGACTTAACAAATGAAAAAAGTTTATTGCTATCAATAATTGCAAAATTTAAACATATTATTTATATAAGATGAAATGTGAGTCATATTTTTTTTAAATTTAAAATCAAAATTTTATAGAGTATCACCAATTAAGAAAGCTACAGAAGCAATCAAATTGATTCGTGATTATTTATCTGGAAAGAATGATTTCATAAAAACATGTTAGTGCATTTATTATCATTAATAATATGTCAAAAATTTCGATCAATAAAATATTTAAATTAAAATTTTCTTACATCCAAACATTTACATAATTCTTCACGAAGTGTTACTCCTAATAGCGAATAAAAAAAAATAAGTTGATATTAGTATGAATTTAATATGAATTACAGATTTTGTGAATGCATTAAAACAATCAACTCTGCAAACTTTCAATATACTTTTATTCCGATGTGCTGCAGAAGATGAGGATGATTTCGGATCAAGCTCTTATAATATACCTCATTGGAAAACATTAGATTATTGTGGTTTACAAGGTTAGTTTTATTATCAATATATATAAAATTTTCCCTGATAAAAAAAAAAAAAAAATTGAAATTCATATTAATGCAAAATTGTAATTGTTAGAAAATGCGATATGTTATGATGATATGATAATGAACTTGCAAAAGTTTTGCTACATTATCAGTAAATTATTATCAATCATTAATTATTGTTATCAATTATCAACTACATTATCAATTATTGAGTATTTTTTTCAAAAATTATTAGGCATTGATTTAACAAATGCAAGTAGCTAATTGCTAACGTGAAAATAATATCAGAATTTATCAATAATATCACTTGTGCTATCAATTGAATAATCTTTAGATTTTCTCTTTTTATTCATTAAAAATAACATTGTCATTAAGAAAAAAAAAATTCATAAATAGTAGGAAATGACTAAAATTAATTAATACCAATTTAATTATGGATGAAAATGACGAGAATAAAGAAAAAAAAAAAAAAAAAACACATGGAAAAATGTTTATTTCAGGATTATTACCATATTTAAATAATATTCGGTTTGATAATGATCTCGGACATCCGATATGTCAAAATTTACGTGATGGCTTATGGCTTTGTGATTATATTTACCATAGGCTCAGTAAGCATAATCCAATGTTGACAGAAATTGCTCGTATTATTCGAATTTTATTCTTACCACTTCATGAAGTACCATATGATTTAAGACCTTGCTATTTTGAAGCATTATTTTCGCTAATTTATGAAACAACATTGGAACAGTTGATGAAAAAATTAAGTCGGTTAGTCTTTCTTAAATAACTTTTATTTAAATATTTAAAATATCAAGTATCATTCATATTTTATTTAAAATATCAAATATCATTCATATTTTACGATGAATTGAATAAAACCTTTTTTTTTTTTTTTTTTTTTACAAATTTAATGTTTGTTTATCAATTTTCCCAAGAATATTGTCCATTTCTTAATTTTACTATAAACTATATTTGATTATCGAACAAATCTGTTATGATTCAAGTCTCATTTATTGATTAAAAATTGCTAACTTTTAGCATTTTTGCTTAATTAAGTTAATTAACAATTTTGTCCAATAATTATAGACCATTTGTAACAGCATCGATATATGTTCAATCATTAGCGCTATCTTCTGTAGCTTTTCTTGGAGCAGTTAAAAATTCAAAGTTAGCGCTTCTACCGGATGGATATAAGATAGAAGATGATCTGCCTTCATCTCTTTCCGCTGGTTTACCGCATTTCTCAACTGGATTTTGGAGAAATTGGGGACGAGATACTTTCATCGCATTACCTGGTTGCTGCCTTGTTACAGGTCGATTTCAGGATGCACGGTAAAATCTTGCTTGATTAATTAATATAAAATATAATATTTAGCTATTGTTCATGTTTCAAATCAATTAATTCAATTCAAAAGATTAAAACTAATAATGCATGAATTTGTATTTATTCGCTATTATGATAAGAATTATATGATAAGAATAATTTTATTCATCTTGATATTACTGATACAAATTAGAGGAGCTAACAGGATCAATCGGATTCAGTGCGAGTTTATTAAGTGTTCATTTTAAAGGTATTAATTTGGGATAAATGAAAATTGCATAAACAGAAAATTTAGCTGAAGATAATCTGAAATTAAAATTGGTACTGGTATGTTATCAGTGATATTGGTATATTTTCAGTCATTGATACTGGTATATTATCAGTGATACTGGTATATTTTCAGTTATTGATATTGATATATTATCATTTTTTTAAAAAAAAAGAAAATGTTGTAGAAACTTAATCCTGTCATATGGTGGTGCAATAAGACATGGATTAATACCGAATCTTTTGGATGGTGGATACGGTGCACGTTATAATGCTCGTGATGCTGTTTGGTTCTGGTTGTATGCCATTGTGAAGTATATTGAAATGGTTCCACAAGGTGTCGAGATTCTCAAAAGTAAAGTACTTCGTATATTCATCCATGATGATACCATCTATGGTCATGACTTAACTGTAAGTAAATTAATTTATTAACTAATTAATATGATATAATTTAATTAATTAATATAATGTAATTTGATTAATTAATATGGTATAATTTGTCTAATTAATATGATATAATTTTTATACTTCAAATCATTGCATACCTGCAATGTAACAATTCGAGTAATTTTATTTTCGAATCTAAAAAAAAAAAAATTTTTTTCTCTCTGATTATCTTATCTCTATATTTTTACTCATTATTTTTTTTGCTTTCTTCATTAATCAAAAATATTAAAAATCAATTTTAGGAGCAGTATCTTGCTGATACGATGCAAGAAGCACTTATGAGACATTTTAATGGAATAGAATTTATAGAACGTAATGCTGGCCCTAGAATTGATGAACATATGCAGGAGCAAGGTATGTTTCAAAAAATTTCAAATTTTGCAAAATTTATTCCCGAAAAAGAAGTAATAAAATGAAAAATAATAAAGGATTGTTTTTTTTTTTTGGTAATAATAATAATAATAGTAATGATAATAACAATAATAATAAATGATAATAATATAATAATAATAATAAATAAATATTAATTAATAAAGGCCTAAATTTATAAGATGAAATTCATTGTAGGATGACATTTTAGGCTTTCATGTAAAAGCATATGTTGACCACACTACGGGTTTTATATTTGGCGGTAATATCTATAATTGCGGTACATGGATGGATAAGATGGGAAGTTCTGAGAAAGCTGGTAATAAAGGTTGGCCAGCAACACCCAGAGATGGTGCTGCTGTTGAATTGCAGGGCCTTTGTTTTGCAGTTATTGAAAAATTAGATGAATTGTATCAGAAAAAATTCTATCCGTACGAAGGAGTCTTTAATGGTTTCTGTTAAAATTACAATTTTTTTTTTTTATTTCATTTTTTTGTATGATATTTAAATATTTCCATAAAATATCTGAGATAATAAATGAATCAATGCTTAATATGATAAATTTATAGAAAATGAAATTTGGACATGGCAAAAATGGGCGAATATTATGAAAAATAATTTCGAACGCTTTTTTTATGTAGCTGACAATGACTTATCACAGTACGTAAATAGACGTGGTATAATTAAAGATACGTATGGTTCCACGCAAGGTTATACTGATTATCAATTAAGACCGAATTTCTCGATTGCATTAGCCGTGGTAAGCTTGTTTATTTTGTATGTAACATGTTTTTGTCATAGCTTTCAAAGTTTTAGATTAAAATTTGAAGAATAAATTCAAACGGTTAATAAGTTTAGAATGTAATGAAAAATTATTTTATAAAACTCTTATCATTTTAGGCTCCAAAACTGATAGCTCCAGAAAAAGCTTGGCAAGCACTGCAAATTGCAGAGAAAGAATTACTTGGGCCATTGGGTATCAAAACTCTTGATCCAAGGTAATATCATAAGCTCAATAATATCTAACAGAGATTGAGGCTTTAATTAATGCCAAGTAATAATCTATCTTCAGTTCATAACACTAAGCAATAACTCTGATAAAGCTAATCTAACACAACATATACAATATTGGAAATTTGTTTAAATTCAAAAAAAAAAAAAAAAGTAAATTTTATTGAATTATTTTACAGTGATTATAATTATTGTCCATTCTACAATCAAGACGATGATAGTACGGAAAAGAAAACAGCTCGAGGTTGGAGCTATCATCAAGGCCCGGTATGTTTCTGTTTCCAATTTTAAGCATTTAAAATTTGAACAAAATTTTATACTAAAACATAAAATTCAATTTAGATCTTCTTTATAATTCTTTTTAAAAAAAGATCCAAATATTTTTCAAATTTTGTGTTCTTTTTTTTTTTTTTTTTTTGAAATTAACAATTTTTAGGAATGGTTATGGGTAGGAATGTTTTTTTATCGAGCAAAATTATCCATAGCAAAAATAATCAGCGAAGAAAAGAATACAGCGGAATTTTATGAGAAAGCAAAACGATTCGTACGATCACGAATGGGTGCTTATTGGGAACATTTGAAGCATTCAACTTGGGCATCACTACCTGAATTAACCAATGCAAATGGCTCTCCATGTTATCATTCATGTGGTGCACAAGCATGGAGTATTGGTTGCATGCTGGAAATGGTTGATGAATTATATGAATTACATAAATTTTAAAAGCATATAGATTAGAATTTCATAAATTTAATCATATATTCTTTGAGAAGCATTTGATGGTGTATAATATAGTTTTCCTAGTTAAAGAAATTATTTTAAAAAAAAATTTGGTCAATTTTTTAAATTTTTGCAGAATGAGGATTTCAATGATCTTTACACTAGCAGGAAAAAAAAAAAAAAAACAAACTATCTTCCTGGAAAATTCTAGATTTAGATTTGATACAATTATTTCAGTTTGTCATTGGATAACTCTTCTAATCATTTTTGTTAGTATTTTCACTATTTATTCTTAGTGATTCTAGATTGGAATTGAAAAATTTGAAATGTTCTATCTTCCCTAGTTTTATATATTATTGTATGAATTTTATTTATCTTAGCTTTAGTAATACTCTGTATATGGGCCTCACATAGGTCAATGATTTCCGTACTGTGAATGTCAGTAAATTAGGAAAATCCATTACCACATAAAAATTCTTCAAATATCTTACAGTTGCTCATCTTTCTTATAACAGTGAAACATTTATTCCATCTCAATAACTTCATGCTCCTACTATTAGAGAATAAGCAAATCATTGGTAACAAACAGTTCACGTAGATTAAAGTAAATTTGAAAAAGCCTTTAATTTTTCTAATTCTAATATCGAAAAAAAAATTTTTTTTATGAAGTTTGGAATAAATTTAAACTGCTGCTACCATATAAAAATCTGGCGAATAGTACGATGGAGCTTTAAATTTCAAAAGCTAATTAGAAGCTATAAGCCTAAATTGCACACGCTGTTGTCACACAAACCAGAAACATTATATACAGATTTTCCAACTTCAACAAATGCATTTAATGCAATTTTATAATCGAACAAATGATAAAGCGAATATACACCGAACAGCTGTTTTTTTTTTCTTTTAGTGAGTTTTAGATAAGAAGAGATATATTAAAAAATAAAATACTCAAGAATGTTGACAACTGAACAATTGTAATATTTTTGTATGCATTCGAAAGCACAAAATAATGATATACTTTGACTTGAAATTAATCGGCGAAATCCAAAATCTTTTGTATTTTTCCTCTAGAAGAAATTAAATCATCTGATTACAAATCTATAACATCGTCGTTTCTATCTTGCACAACATTATATTACGTTAACATTCTTCGTATAACCACTACAATTAAATTAATCCAATCTCATTTCGAAAGCATAGAAGAATACCGTGGAATGAAACAATTTTGTTGAAAAAGCGGAAAAGTAAGAAACGAAAATACTTTGGGATGCCGAAAATGCTTGGGAAATATGAGATATATTTGGTTATGATTGAAAAAGTTTCGGGAAACACTTATTATCTTTATAACAATACAACCGTCACAATGTAACCTGAGATTAAACCTTGCAAATGATATGACATTAAACATATACGGTAATCAAATAACCCTCTATTTCCATCCCTATACTTTGCTAAATCAACAAATTACTACAAAATAGTCTGAAAGAAGAAAACAACAGTAAAATAGTGACGGACAATAATGATTCACCGATTTGCTTGCTCGCATGCATCTATCCAGTCCGAATAGACATCGATTGGTTCAGAAAGATAATTGATATTTGTTTGGAAATCCTCCAAACACACTCTACACGAAATGAAACCAACATTTCTTTCACGATCCCTAAAACAAAGGAAGAAATAATAAATACTACCGATATTAGAGTATTACATTTTTTTTAAATATCAAACTGGTACATGAATTTCACACTAACTTAGGATGATTTTTTGCAGAATGTAAAGTATGATCTGACATTTTAAATTGTCTCATTTTTCTGTGAGATATTAATTATAAGTCTTCAAAAGCATTACTTATAGCAGAAATTTTAATTCAGATAAGATGGAAATCTTTCTTCTCTTTATTAAACAGCCGAGTCTGTCTATGAACTGCCCTATTAACACCTTTCTTTCGATTTTAAGCTTAAGTCTAACATTTGCTCACTGATAAAAATTTAAGACTCAGTAATCAAATTCCAAAAGAAGTTCTCTACCAAACCAGAACATAAGATTTAAACTAGGAATAAGCATCCTTCAGCAGTAAAATCGCATTCACTAATTTCTACAGTTGATAAGACGCCCATCTATGGGTCCAACGCACTATTCAAATACTTTACCAACATCCGGAATTAACAAATTCTAGAATTTGCAAAGGAAAAAAAAAAACAGACATACATTTTTACTTCACACACTCTTTCGTGATTGCAGAATGGACAATTAAATTGTGTCTCCAGCGGTACAATTGATTTCACCTTTGGTGGTGGCTTTCGCTTTACCTTACGCTTCCCCATTTCACAATTCTTAATTAACAGCAGTAATCACACGTAACTGAAAACTATAAACACTTGTCATAACCGAAGCATAAATTATATATTTTTTGGTTATGAAAAAACAATTCCACATATAACACTCAAATGTTGACGTATACGTCACGTTCAACGCAACACGCCCACCATCAGTTCATCATACTCCCAAAAATCATTCCAACAAAGCTCCCAAAGAATAAACCAATCAGACATCCCAACAACAGAGTTCACATTTTAATGCGGCCCCAGCATGAAATTTACGGTCTGCAAGGCATGTTTTTTTAGCTGATTTGAAGTGTATCATTTGTTAATTGATGTATTATTGTCATCCTTCCAGACAGAAAATGTCATGAAATTTGTAAATTGTTTAAATATATTTGAAAGAAATAAGGATAGAATATAAGTCACCATGGAATGATATTAACAAAGTGCTGTGTTAATCTTCAATTACAACTGAAATCTTTTGAAATGATATAATTTTAGCGATTGAAATAGGAAAACAAATGGAATATTGTTCCTTTTTTTCTTTTTTTAACTTAATATATCATTCGTTGTCTCTAACAGTAAAGATTTTTTCACATTTTATGCAATTCAAAAATAATTTTTTCTATTCTTTAAAAAATGATTTTGAAATTTTCGAGTAATTTTTGTAAAAGAGAAAGCAATTTGTAAAAGTAAGATAACAGAAAATTTAATTTTGATGTAAAGTTGCTTTACACTTTTTTTTCCTTTTTTTGTTGTCTAAAAATAAGAAGGCAGTCATGTAATTCATCTGAAGCGTATAAGCTAAGCGTATAAAAAGTCTGCTCTGAATTATTATACTAAAAGTATTACAGGAAAGTTTTAAATGCAAGTACCATTTCTTCTAAGTTATTATATTTTATTATACTTTGCTCCACTAATCATTTGAGCATTTAAAGGAATATTTCAATTTCTGATCGAGAATGATCCTTATTTCAATCTATAAATTCCATTTGTTGTAGAAAGTTTATCCGGTTTTCTTGAGGTCTTCCAATCATAAAATGAAATGTTGAGTAATTTCAGCTTGCTCAGCCAACAGAATGTATAAATTAGTTCATTAAGTGGGAACAGTGTCAATGTTAAGTCGTGACAGTTTGCAGACAATTAGAGCAGAACGACGTGCAGGACGTCTAAAGTGCAACGTAGTTCTAATCTTTCAAAGTGATCACACTTTTGAAGGGAAATTTATGCTTTTTTAATCTTTGGCCGAACGTTCAGAAAATGTCCATTGGATATTAACCGGATGAAAGGTGGAGACAGCCTTTGGTTAGACAACTTTTATGCCAGTGATGTCCTTGAATAAGACTATTTGGTTATTCAGGATTTTGCTGTATCTTTTTATATCTCTCTAGAATGCCTCCTTCTTATAAAGATGGCCCTATAGGTGAAAGAACCGTCTATGCCCGAGTTTGGAATTAGAGTCGTTAATAAGCCAATTCTAACTGTAAGCACACTTTCTGTGACTGTTCGATTGAGACATCTCTGGCATGGAAGATCTTATGCCTCTGCTAGCACAGCGCGCAGGGGCATGTAAGCCTTTTTCTCACGACAATAGCGCTTGTGGTGGATTTTAATATCGCAAAACTCTAAAATGCTATATGAGAGCTGAGAATGTGAGTAAGAAATATGTTATATGAAATCTTGCAAGTGATACCTATAATAAACCGATGAATACCGATTCAGACAATTTGCATTGCTGTCCAGAAAACTCGTCACGAATGTTTAAAATTCGTCCACAAATGTAATATCGTGCTGATATTGACGAAAACGACTAATCAATTTTGCTAGTGGTTAAATATGTCAGTTCTTTCGCGTTATTTCTCGATACTTTAATGGAATTTCTATTTTCTATTTGTTAGATTGCTTTAGGTTGTGAAAATACTTAAAAGAGCGCTGAATTATTTGTGAGGCGTCTGCTTGCCTTATTTTACCTCAGTTAATTGTAATTCTTAAGTAGTGTTCGTGACGGGTTTTCAAGATAGAAATGCAGATTTGTGTGAATCGGTAATCTCATTTGTACGCATGATGATTTCGATGCTCAAAAGATAGTAAGATAAATGACGAATATGGATGCTATAACTGTCCGGATGCTATAAGCGAACTTGATAAACCACTGCTATAAGCGAACTTGATAAACCACCCGGGAATGCCAAAACACCCATGTTCGTCATGTATGTTACTATCTTCTGCGCATCGAAACCATCACGTTGCTTGTGATGGTACTTTGATGGCATGTCAACATCTAGTGGTGATGGGATTGCGTTTTTACAGAAGCTGCTGTTGCTGTACTTGTTGTTGTTGGTGATGCTGCTGCTATTGAATTATTCCAGGTACTTCAATAAGTTATTGCTGTTGTTGCTGAGCAAGTGAACTGGTAGTTGTTGTTGTTACAGAAATAATACTCGACGACTGTCATACCACTTCAATTGCTTGCTTAGCACTTGTCTGTACAATGCTTCCTTTGGTGTTTTTCATCCGAAATTCAACAGCCACACCATCACCGCCTCCAAGAATATCATATAGCGTGACTTCCAGCTTTGCTGACAAATTTGCTAAAGGAATGTGGAAAGAAAGCATTCAGTTGAATTAATTGGCGGTACATCTCGTATTCCGGTAATATTTTAGGGATTTTCTGGGATGATATGTATGCAATCAAAGGATTTCTCAGAATAATCCTTGTTAAGCAAAAATACTTAATGGCAAAGTTTATTATAGTGATCAAATAGGACTGATAATCAGTGAACTAATCTTATTGAATTAGAAAACGGTGTGATTTGTTCGTGTTACAAAACCAACAGTTACGACTGATTGGACTTGTTTCTCTCCATAGAATATGCATTTAAAATATTGAATTACAACACGCTGAAAATCTTTTTGACGACACAAAAATAATGTCACCAAATTGAAGGAATTCAGTAGACGTGTGTAAACGCAAACCATCACAATGATAAGCGACGCTGTGGAAGAATCCGTCTCGCAAATACGTTCTATTATTGCTGATACCACCACAAGAACTATAAAGATGAAATTAACGAAATAAGTAATAAAAGCAGATTTTACATATAAAATTCACTACATTCCTTGCTATGTAAAAGGTTCAAGTATAATTTCCCCCTAACAAACTTTATCTTGAAGAAATCATAAGTTAAAGTTATTTCCTAAAATCAGAAAAAATAGCAATGTTTTGTTATTACTGAAAGTACTTAGCCTTGATCAGAACTGTTCATAGAAATTCACGTAGCAACGTACAAAATGTGAAACAGCAAGAGATCAGTGCTGTTTGAGTGTATCGCTTTTGATTTTTGAGAAAATGTGACAAATTGCGATTATGCGAATTGCTTGAAAGGTACTGTGCACCGAAATTCCTAAAAGTGATAGTGAGTCATTCTCATTTTGAATTGATTTATTGACGTTTGCCACCTGACGTAAACAGCGTAAAGAGGAAGCAGTTTGATGTGTTATACATTCCCCGAAAGATATATGCAATAATTCTGTTATCGTTTGCTTCTTTGATTTACTTTACAGTTTTGTCGTTTCAGTTAGCACTCAGTAATAATTTAGTGGTAATTCCACTGAATGAATAATAATTAATTTAGAGTAATTCTACTGAATGAATAATTGAATTCTGACACAGTTTATGAAGCAAAAGAATGGAGCAATGGACTGTACCACTCAATGATAGCACAATTTCATTTCTACGATTAGAAATATTTCAAAAGCCATACCTTCTCAGGATGACAACCACAATAATCATAAGAACAACACTCGTCATTGAAGCGGAAGAGGACAATAGTAGTAATGCTTCGTAAAAGCGTGGTGAATACGCAAATTGTAGCCTGCAAGGGTTGTCTTGTCATAGATTTCGAAGTAAAAGAATTACTTAATAATATTAGAATTCCATTCCAACATTGGTGTTTGTCCTATGCTGAAAAGTGTCTCATTAGATGAATACAGTGACAAAAGATACTATAAGAATCAAATGTCACCTACATACAAAAATTAGATATGCGCCGAGCTGGTTCAATCAAACTTGCGGTGACAGCAGTAGTTACCGCGGTAGCAGTAATTCCGTAGTGTGCGGCAATAACTGAATGAGTTATTCGTGTGTTGTGAGTATAATAATATATTGGGAATGCTACGACAAAAAGTCTTTCTACGCTGTTCATCAGCAGACTCCATCCAGTCAGAAATTCCGCTGTGAAAAGAAAGATTGGCACCTGAAATTTTAATTGTTGTCGACGGTTATAATACAGTTATTACCTGTTCGGAATGCTTAATCCGTTCCCGTTATGTCCAGTGGACTTATAAAGCTTTTTTGTGTTTTTCGTTAAATTTTATTATTTATTTTGCAATACTTTAACTTAATTTCCTGGAATAACAGTGAAAGCCAACAATTTTCATTGTGTTTTTCAAACAAAGAAACGAACATTCAGCACACATTCGTGATGATTGATAATCCGTTCTCCACCAGCGGTATCGATGAGTCGCTTCACTCCCAGTAATATGGAACTGATCCCGAGAAATCCATTGTTAAGGAATACAATTCCAAGAACTAAGTATGAATTCCTAAATACTTCAACTTGTCCATATGATATTTGCGTATTATTTTGAGTGATCGAAATGATAACTTGAAATGTTTTTTGTTTTATTTGTAATAGATTTTCTAATGATACTATTCATCAAACTCTGTATTTTCACAATATTTCGATGAGATAAATCAGTTGACCTGAGTGCTTTACGAGTTATCACAAGCAGAGAGACAGGAATGTTGATCACTATGAGCACCGTACCGACAATTAAATATGCGTACGTACGTAAAAAATAATCGACAAATAGTATTAACTTTTTTTTGTTCACCGTAATATTCACATTTTCAATTATCGTCTGATTAATAGCAAAATCCATTGATATGCATATAAATATAAAATGAGGCGCAAATAATTTTTAAAATAAATGACAGAATT